TGTGATAATATAGGGAAAACCAATTGGGGGAGACGGAATTTGTGGAAGGGATAAGGGGAATCCCAGAGTCTATGATCAAGGTTTGAGTGTGAACTCAGTGTCTTTTCCTTACTGGAATCTCATTCAAGCCCTGAGCTGTCGGAGCATCATGTCAGGGAGCCAGCCCACTGCAGAAGGCTTGACAGGTCAAAGTAGAAATAGGTACACACACACACACACAAGAATGCCAGAAAACAGACTCCTTGTGGAGGGACAAGTGTGGCCAGCTCAACTGTCTGCACTCAATGGTCGCCCTGCAAACCAAGCCAGGGGGTAAAAGAGAATTCTCACTGCCAGCCATCCTGTTCCCCCTGCTGCGTGTGAAAACAGCTTAGTTACTCAGGGAAACTGATCCTGCAAACAAACCTTAGCTGATGAATCCCCTCTTAGTTTTATGCTACCTTGCTTATGTCTTAAAGTCTCTTATACATAAAGTCTCATCCATTTCAAGTTTACTTTGGAGCGTGGTGTGAGATATTGATTCGGTTCCTTATGCCTGTCAATATCATTTTTCCAACACTGTGTATTGAGATCATTCTTTCCTCATTGTGCATTCCAGGTGACTTTCAGAGAAGTAAATTGACCATAAACATGTGGTTTAATATATATGTTCTCTGTTTTCACTGGTCTGCATGTCTTGTAATTTTTTTTTTTTGAATTGTGTCACAATGTAATTACTTTCTAGCGCTGTGTAACGCAGTTTGAGCAGTTTGAAATCCGGCAGTGGTTTGCCTCTAAGTTTCTTCTCTCTCAATATTGCTTTGTTGTGCAAGGTCTTTTCAGGTTGCATATGGATTTTTGAATTATGTTCCCTACTTCTGTGAAATATTTCATCAGAATTTTGACAGGCATTTCATTGAATCACTAGATCACCCTGACTATATGGAGATTTTAGAATACACATATTGTTGCAGCACATGAATTCTAGATGTTTGAGTCATCTTGAATCCCCTTCACTGATGCTTTGCAGTTTTCAGAGTACACGGTTTTAACCATTTAAATGAGGATTATGTTTAAATACCTTTCGTTGTTGCTACTGTAAATTAATTACAGTCTTTAAAAAGAAGATTAATTTATTTATTTGCACATGAGAGTTGCAGAGAGAGGGAGATAGACTGAGAAAGAGCCTGCCTCCTCTGGTCTGCCTCTCAAGTGACTGCAGTAACTAGGGCTGGCCCATGGTGCAGCCAGGAGCCACAAGTTTCATCTGGATCTTTCCTGTGGGTTTAAGAGCCTAACACATGCACCATCTGCTGCGGCCTCTCCCAGGCATTCACAGGGAGCTGGCCTGGAAGAGGAGCAGCAGGGACATGCATCAATGCCCACATGGGAGGAAGCCAGTGTCTACCCATTACACCACATGTCAGTTTCAGGTTGGATTCTTAAATACTTATTCTGCAGTTTGGTTTTTGCAGATTCATTGTATATCATGAAACTTTATTGAATTCAAACATCCAAAAATGAGTCACTTCCAATCCTTCCTAAATTCCTCTAAAAAATAAAAGATGAAAAGATACTTCTACACTCACATTTTAGGATTGCATTACCCTAATTCTAAACTAGGAAATACTCCCTTGTATCATTCAATACTGTATCGGGTCTTAAATGTCAAACTTTAAAAGTGTTGATGTGCCTATTAATAGAGCTCTTTAAACTTTGCTTTACATATTAAGTAACATTTATTATTAACTAAGAATGTCCAAATTATTTTCATTAGAGATCCCTTCAAATTATTTCACCCCCTTATTTAAAAAAAAATGTTTATGTTTATTTGAGAAATGAGAGAGCGCTGTGAGAGACACAAGGAGACTCTTCCATCCTCTGGTTCACGCTCCACAAGCCCCCACATGCTGTGGCCTAGCCAGGCATTTTCCAAGGTCTCTGCTCAGCTCTTCCATGTGGGTGGCAGGGACCTCAGTCACGTCACGTGTGCTGCCTGCTAGGATGCATATTAACAGGAAACCGCATTAGAAACAGAGCGAGGCCTTGAACACAGACGCTATGACACGGTGAGCATGTTTTAAAGGCAGTTTAACCATCTGTGCTGTAACCCTCACTCCATTCCTTTATTCAATAATATTTACCAAGGTCATATTGTGCTCCAGATACTGCTTTAGTTCCTGTGGATATACATATGATTATAATCAGTAAGGTTCTTGACTTGTGTCATTTTCCATTGCTTTAACAAATACCAGAGCTTGGAAACTTTATAAGAAGCATCTTTGGCATATAGTTCTTCAAGTTCAAGAGCATAGTGCAAGCTCCTGCTCATGGCCTTATGCACAACTGTAGGAATAGGTGCAGAAGAGATGACAGAGTGAGGCAGGAAGCAAGATGCTGGAGAGGCCAGGCTGCATCTTCTTTCACCATCATTTTCTTTCGAGAACACATTCACTGTGGTGAGAGCCGATCTCCTGCCAGACTAGCATTGCTCTGTCAGCGAGAACAGAGTCATCACGAGCTATGGATCTTTCACTAGATCCCTTACGATTTTGTGCCTCCACAACCATCATGCTGAGGGTCAAACTTCCAGCCCATGAAACTTTAGCGGATATGCACAAACCATATCCAAACCAAAGCAGCCCCCATCTTCATGGAATATATTTAACTGGAAGGGAGAGAAAAGACCAGAAAGCGTTATTAAATTAATCTAAATGCTTATGTCCCTCCCCCAATTCCTCCTGTGAATTTATATGTTGGAGTCCTCAGACCGTTTTGATGGCGTTAGTTTGTGGAGCCTTGGGTGATCACTGGGTCATCAGATGATGCCTTTGTGAACGGATGGATGTCCTCATGAAAGCAATCAAGGGTAACCCTTCCTTCCATCTCTGTGGGAGGAAGCAGGCACTCAGAAGAGGACGACTGGAGGGACCCAGCGGTTCAAGTGGCAGCTGTCACACAGGGTGCTTCGTGAGAGCCTCTTGAGGAACTGACCCCGGGCCGGGAACCTGCATGAAGATAGCGAATTTGCCCTACAAATTCCTGAGGTAGTAATTGATCCACACGTCACGTTTCAGGTAGTGGAGAACTCAGAACTTCAGACCCACTTTGTGAAATGATGAACAATAGAAAAACAGACCTCCTTTTTTTTTTTTTAAAGATTAAAATCAACTTCCTGTTATGGCATAACAAGTCATGGGACTCGAAAATCACAGACATCAACACTGGCTGATCTGGGCCGGTGCCAGGGAAAAGTTGGAATCCTTACCAAGCAAATCATACACACAGAAATAACAGCTCAAGCTAGCAGGGAGATCTTAACAAAGGAGAGGAACATTCCTCGCTCAACAATCAATGGAAAGCACATTTTCTTCAGGGTTTCACTGGATTTGAGCATCTGCACAAGTGAAAACTGACTGCTATAAAATCTCGGTGGTGAAACACAAAACAATGGAAGGAAGTCTGGCCCCTCTCCCAACCTTGCCATGTAGTGAGCTCTGTCTCAGCTCAGAGCTTTGCTGCGACAGTCAGCCATCCATTTCATTCTTTGGGCTGATTATTTCAGAAAAAAAAAAAAAAAGCTTAAAAGCCTTTGCATTTTGAAAATGAGAATGTATAGAAAGTAAATAGCCCTGAATAATATGAAATGTTATTTTAAAAGCATACAGTAGTTGAAGAATTTCATTCTATGGTTTTAGAAAAGTGGAAGGTATTGCAATACACTTTCATTTAGTTTTTTTAAAATAATTTTTTAGACTTTTTTTTATTTTTGTAGACTTTGTAATTTTGAAAAGTAAAGGTGATTGTCAAGTGCTCTGTTTTCCTTAAACAACAAAGTAAGTGTTTCCTCACTAGATTATGTGAGAGTAAACTTTAATAGAAATATCTTGAAGGTAATTTTTGTAAATTTTCAACTGAATTTAATGAGTTGTATAGTATTTCTTATTTTATTTCAGATTGCTTACTCTTTATAATTTCCAGCTAGTTTAGAGTTAACTTAAATCTGGAAAACATCAAGAAGATAAGTTGAATCAAACTCATTTTTGGATAACTAGACTTATAAATATTAACATGGAATAAATGCCAATATTTTCCCCCAGTTTTTGTACAATTACTGAGGATTATGTGGCAGATTTTACACATTTCCACCTCACACTAAAGCAGGTTTTGTGGACTGTCAGGTTGATGTACGAGCTCGTGACAGTATCACCCAGAGATGCGGGAGATGGGGGAAAAGGGGGGACCAGGTCCCTGAACGCAGCCGGATACCCTCACCACGTGCACTGGGACTGCCCAGGCTCATAGGACCCAGACTCTGCAAAGGACTTCAGCTTGAAATAATCTGTATTTTCAAAGTGTCAGCTGATTCTTTTCTTTAGTACCCTCAGATCTCTTCATGGAAAACAACTTCCTCTGATCATTTGATCCCTGTCTATGGCACTTACCTATAACCCTTAATTGACCATGTTTGCATGTAAGTTCCTTCTATCTGATTTCAAAATGGATGTGGTTTCTGCGTGTGTGTGTGTTAACAGCAACTAAAGAAAAACAAAACTTACATATACATTACAATTTAAGAAGTGCTCTTGATATGAAAATAAGCTTTTAAAGTCAATATACTAAGTATGAATCAAGAGAAATGAAGTATTTTAATAAGTAACTGAGATTTTAACAGAGGGTTAGAGGTAAAACTAAATAAACTTGAACTGCATAGGACACTCTGAGCTCCCCATCCTCCCTCAAATAATTATATAAATACAATTCGCAAGCACTGGAGGCCAGTTCATTTCTCAACTCCGTGCCAAAGTCACCCCAAGTGTGTGCAAGAGGTAAACTGGGAGGAACAGGCCCTCTGGTCCCAAGGCAGATGTGGAGGGATTGAGCCGAGACTGCTTAGCAACTCAGCGGAGGAAATGACGAGAAGGAAACTGCTTTGTGTCTCAGGAACCGAGTGGAATTCCAAGATAAGAAAAACAGTTGCTAATTTGAGTATAAAAGCAGGAAATATGATACACTTATTTCCCTTCATGCAAACGCAAGTACATGAAGGGCTGTGTGAAAATTATTTTTCCCTTGTTTGGATTCACATTGCTTCTCTTGGACACGCTGGCTTTTCTTTCTTCTCTCCTTTGTGGATATTATGGCTGATAACACAACAAGTTTAGGGAGTCCATGGCCTGAAAACTTTTGGGGTAAGGTCTTTTTAAATTGTTTTTAGCTTAAAAATAGAATGGAGAGAAATGCACTACATAATTTATTAAAACATTGAGAGTGTCTGAGACATTTTGTTTTCTGTCAATTGATTACTTAAAATCTTAATGTATTTATTACCACAGAAGTCTATAAATATAAATGTCTTTAGCTTGGGCTATGAGGTCATTTAAGAAGCATCTGATCAGCAGCTATAAAACAAACATCAATGAAAGCAAAGAAAAGAAATACAAAGTGAAAGTCATTGCTGTCTTGAATATGGATTTAGGAGAAGAAATAAGTTTAATTTGCTTTAAGGACTATAGATTTTATTTAATGATGTCAAAGTGCTCTGTGAAGGTTATTTTAACTGATTTTGTCAATATTGTTTTCCAAAGTGAATCTAAATAACACAACTCTAATTTTAAAGGAATACGTTTGGAGAGGATGACTTAGATGCAATATGGAACAGTATTATGAAATCAGGAAAGATGGCGTGGAAAAAGGCAGCATTATAAGGGAAGCCTATTACAGTGGGAAAAGGAGCGAGGCCAGAGTTGTGATTTTGGCTACAGCCAATGGCAGGCGGTTACCAGTGCAATGTTCCAGCTGTTGTCAAGAGCAGCAGGTCCTTGAGAGGAGAACAGCCAGTGGCTCCAGACTGGACTCACACAAGGAAAAAGGGCTAAGTGAGATGCTGAGAAATGGGGGAGGGAGGAAGGAGGAAGGATTGAATTCAATTCAGAGGAAAAATAACTTAATGGAGAAAACGGAGTTTGTGCAGAGATCTTTAGCCCTCTCTGTACATTCAGAAAGCGTTTTGATCATCTCGTAATCATGGCGAGCCTTCCGCTGCGGCTCACAGGAGGGTTTGTGACTCTGCAGGTGAAGGGGGAAAGCAGCAGCGGTTCACAGTCCCAGGAGGCCTGACCTGTCTGCTAGCACTTCTTTCTAGCAGCTCTCATTGGTAGTTGATGATGTTTGCTTTAACTCTGCAGAGTTGGGGTGAACATCCTCACAAAATTGTACAACAAAATTGAAACAAGAAAGCAAAGCATGCTTTGTACATTGTGCAAAATGGCTTTGCCAATCAAGCACGAATAGTAATTTCATTACATGTTGGCGACAATGATTACTCAATGCCCTCGTTTCCAGAAAAAGTAACATGCGAAACATGCAAAAAATAGAATATGGCAAAGATAAATTTGTCATCCTAAAAATAAATATGTATGCACACTACTCAAATTGAGGGTAACATAAAGGGCAAGATTAATGTGTAAAAGCCAAATCCAGTTTTTACAAATCATTCAACATTGAATTTCAGCTTTGCAAAAGGCAATTACTTCTGATGACCAAAAGGAAGCTAATGATCACTAAAACACCATAAATTTTTCAAGAGCGTAATTACAGCTCATCTACTCATAATAAAAAAATCTAAATACTGTACCAGGAACATCTGTACATAAGAGGGAATTCAAACTTACTGATCCAAAGACGGGTGCCAGCATTCCCGTGCTTTATCATGTAAATAAAGTGGAAATACAGCATGCCCAAATGGGACTGGGTACATTGCTAAGCAGTAACAAAACCAGTACAAATTTGCTAAGCAGATGCAGTATTTGGTGATTTGGGGAAAATATATGATAAATTGCAGTATTTCATCTGGCATAAACTGTAAGAGATGCAATATTAAATGCAAGCAAGATAAAAATTTCCCCCAATTTATTCAGCTTTTCCATTTTCCTTTCTTTCGTGTATTTGCCACCGATAGTCCAAAAGTATGATTTTGAAAAACTTGCACAATGCAGTGTAACAAATTATTTTATTGCTTATCAAAATTATTTATCTGCTTGGCACTTTTGCATTCTGAGGGTGATAGAAAATAGTTTTAAAAAGCAAATTTTAAATCTCAAACCATACGAATTTCCTGGATTTAACAGGCATAAGGATTTAAATATGTTTTCCAAATACTGCTTTTTTGATTTACTTTGTTGAGTAACAAGAAAGAAGATAATTATGCTGTTATGATCAACAACAATGCCTTGAGTTTTCAGTTTTCACACGCTAGTCTCACGTCGTACAGGTCATCAGGGCAAGTGCTGTTTTGAAATTGCTTGTGGCACAGAGAGAGAATGCCTCTCCCCACTTCCAGCCTTTACTCCTGGAGCTGCACCTCACCTCCCCCTAACAGCAGGAAACATGATCCTTGGACGTTCCCTGTGGCCTGCTCCCATCAAACAGGAGACCCAGGTCACTAAACCCCGTTATTTATTTAACGCTAAGAGCCTTAGAGAGGACATAGTTTCATTTATCTGCTGTGCGTTATGCCTAGCCTTTGTCCAGCCTTGTGAAAAAATTAGGAGAAGCTATGGGCATAGTATTTCACGAATAGATTCTCGAAAAAGGATGTCTTTCCCAAGAGTATCCTATTGTTGGAGCTCATGATGTGTCCACACTAATGCAAATGTAAGCGTGTACCATTATTGAACAACACAATGCATGAAAAAATCACAATGATTTGATCATATAAGATGTAAGCAAATCCATAGCTGAGATTGCATTTAAATCCTTCTCTTCTTAGAGTGGCTTCAAGTAGGAAGTTAATTGTAAGAAGTACTTCCTAGTCGTTGACTTTCCACTTACTAACTCAATTTCATTCAGTTCCACAGTTTAACAAGAGTGTTGACTGACCGTATTAGACAGTGTGTTAGGCGTTAGTGACTTGAATCAGGCATTGTTTGAGAACTTCATGGAGATGGAGGAAAACATTAGCAGCACAGAGTAGGAGGGGGAATATCCACCATGGCTGGGGAAGTCAGCGGTGTAACTAGAATTCATGTATTTGGGAGTCCTGGGCACTGAGGGAAAAGCTGGCTGGAGGCAGTTTTCAAGATTCTCAATGCCAGTCCAGGCGTCTGAGCCAGTTTAATTTGAGCACTTGCCAGCTAGTGACCTCAAGTCTGCCTTCCTCCCTGCTAGAATTTTCTTTCAGTGTAAAAACAGAGCAGAAGAACTGAGATGCACAGGCGCTAAAGCGTTGGAGGCCAAGGGGCTTTGACTCTTCAAGTCTTGGCCTCTGCTGACACCTGCTGACCTAAGTTTGTCATGTGCCTTTGCTGCCTTTGGGATCACTGCTTCTTTCCCGACTGCTGGAGTCTCAGTTGTACAGTCTGCGTAAGGTGGATCAGAGGCGTGGCTTTTCCTTTCCTAATCTTGCTCCAGGCTCTTCTCTGTCCCAGGGGCACAGGGCATGGCTGCAGCGGTCTCAGGTGGCAGGGCTGCACCGGGTGCCTGCAGTGTAGCTGTAAGACTGTCACCCCTGGCACAGCCCGCTCTGTATTTTGCGCTTTGAGTAGCCAGGATCCCCTTTGTGATTTTTCTGAGGACACCCCAGCACCTGCTTCAGTTCATCAGAGGGCGGTGGTCTCATTCTGTAAAACCCTGCAAACTTTTCTCGGGTCTCTCCAAAACCGCCCCTATACCCTGTTGGAGAAAATTGACTTCAGGTTATAGTTTGTGGTAAAAAGTTACCTGGTGGAAGCCTTTAGACTATTAACATTTTGAAACATAACCATGCAAGCTAATGCTGTTTTTTTACTCTCGAATTATCTACTAATTTCAGTTTTTTTTTTTAAAAAAAAAATGTTATTTTGGGGGGCTGGGACTGTAGTGTAGTGTGTTACACTACCACCTGGGGAACCAGCATCCCATATAGGCTCCAGTTCAATTCCTAGCTGCTCCACTTTCAATCCAGCTCCCCCCAGTGTGCCTGGGGAAGCAGAGTAGGATGGCTCAAGTCCTTGGGCCCCTCCAAATTCCTTACAACTTTAGAAATTCTGTATGTAAGTCAATGAGTGATATTGACCTCTAATTCTTTCTTAAGTATTAGAATTTCTATTTTTTAAATTTCAGACAGAGAAGTTTATTTTCCAAGGGACCAGGTGAGCAGAGAAGGAGGGATGGGGAACACACCTCCAGAGAGAAAGCCAGGAGGTGGGGTGCCTCTTGAAAGGAGAGAGGGAGAGACACCAGGATTTCTAGAACTTTGGCTTGGTATCAAATATACAGCTTCAGTGATTACAATACCAAGATCAATAAGTATCTTATTTTTAAAAATAAAATTAGAGATAATAATTCTGGAAGGAAAGATTTCTGGCAGTAATTTGTGCCTTTTGGTATGTTTTGATCACTCCTATGTATTTTTTTAATGATCAAATATGTCACCACACACTTCTGTGTACTCAAATCTCATTCTATCTGATTCTATCATGTGTTCATATTGGCTTCATATTTTTAAGAATAGAAACAATCCTGGAGCCTGCCTGATGCTGCTACAGGTTAAGCTGCCATCCGTGAGATGGACATCCCATGAGTATGGGGTCTAGTCCCAGCTCGGCTGTTGCCTAGCCAGCTCCCTGCTACTGTACCACATGGAATTCCAGGCTGCTGGTAGCTGCCTGGCCCTGCCCTGCTGGCTGCTGCCACTTTGAGAGTGAACCCCTAAGAGTGGGAGAATCTCTCTCTGTCTCCCCTATCCAATTCTAACTTTAACTAAGTCTTTAAAATACCATGTTACTCAACAAACTTGTTTATCCTATTCCGTGAAGTATTAAACCTTTTACTATAATATAAATCTAAACTGTGTTATCTCAAAAGATGAAAACAGAGAAAGGAAGAAGGAAAGAGGAAAAGAGGCAAAGAATGTCATTATGTTCTCAGAGTCGTATTGACAAATTATGTTGAATCTGTTACATAGTAATTACAACTAAACGAATTTAAAGAGTGGGAGATACAATTTCTTTCCTGTTCTGAACAATGTTGAGTGAGCCCATTAAGCTGGCTGCAGACCTCACATGAGCAGACCACTAACTTAGTTCTCTTGGCTAAGTGCTCATCAAAAGCTGATGTTTTACAACTTTAGGGTTTTTTTTTTTCACATCCTTATTTAGACAAAAGCTTTATGGTCATCAACACTATACATTTTAAACAGTGTTTCTGTAAC